ATTATTATTATTATTAATAGTATTATTATGATTAGTATTATTAATATTAGTAATATTATATTAGTATTATTAATATTAAGATTATTATTATTCATATTATTTTATTATTAGTATTAATATAATTGTTATTATTATCATTAGTATTATTATTATTATAATTATAATTATTGTTGGGTGTATTACTATTATTATTATTATGTTGAATATTACTATAATATTATAATAGTATTATATTATATTATTATTATTATTATTATAATGATTATTATAATTATTATATTAGAATTATTATTGGGAATATTAGTCGTTGAAATAAGTAAAATAAGAGGTGGAAGAGTTATTGGGAAGTTAGAATGGAAATATGAAAAGTCATGATAGAAACCGTGAGGAAGAAAATATGAAGGGGTAGCAAGGAGATATTAGAAAAGTTGGAATAGAGAGAAAAGGGATTACCATAGATCGTGGGAAATTGGTGTGATAATAATAATAATAATAATAATAATAATAATAATAATAATAATAATAATAATAATAATATTATTATTATTATTATTATTATTATTATTATTATGTTATTTTTATTAGTTATTATTATTATTATTATTATATTATTTTTATTAGTTATTATTATTATTGGGATAGGAAATAAAAAGGAAAATAGAATATGAAGGGATGGGGGAAGTATTAGAGAAAATAACACGATAGAAAGATGGAAGAGAGAAAGAGCGATAGAAAGAGAGAAGAGGAAAGAACGAGAGAAGTGAGAAGAACGAAGGAAAAAGGGAACGAAGAACGGAAAGAAAAGAGGAGGCCAAGAGACCAAATCCAGGAAGAATTTCATCGATCAACCGATTAACAAGGTAAGGGGGGAGAAACTTGATTGGGAATGGTATATACATGTATAGGGTAGTGGGGATTCCTTAACCCCGTAGGAATGTATCGTTGATGAAGTTTTATATTGACATGCTATTGATTGTTGAGTTATGTTGATGTTGATGGATTGAAATATGTTGAGTGTTGGTGAATTGTTGTTTTTGGTTAATTTGGCGTATAGGTTGGGTTTACGGTTTTAGGGAAGTTCTGTGTGACCTTTTTGATGTGTTGATAGATTGTTTAAGTGATGACTTTGGAATAATATGTATATGATGATGTACGGATGTTTGATGTTGCCATTGTTGATTGACTGTTGGTGTTGGTTTGGTTTGAGTAAGGTTCAGAGTAACTCTAAAGTGTCGGTAGTGTGCCGTAATGTTGATCTAGAGTAGAATTATAGGAAGATTGATAAGCCTAATATGCATTGGTCGTAATACGGATAGTATAGGAAGTGGATGTTATAGAATAGGCTTGAATCAGAGAAGAGTGAGAATTCTGAACTGTGAGAACTTGAGAAGTCGCAGGCAACTCGCTAGCACTTCGCTTAGCGAGAAGGCAGCGAGCGTTCGCTAGGTGCTCGCCTAGCGAGTGAGGTAGCGAGTGAGTCTAGTAGGTTCTGTTTGCCTTCGCGAGGAGGTTCGCTAAGCGAACAGGTAGCGAGCATTCGCTGGGAGCTCGCCTAGCGAGGGTGTAGCGAGCGTAGCAGAATGGGTTTTTTTCTATGCTGTTATACTGTGTGCGCTAAGAGTGTAGTGCCCTTGGACTTTGTTGATTATAGGGGAGATGATTGAGTGTTATAGAGTGAGTACTCGGTGATAGTATGTGATTTCCGTTACTAATTATTTAAATGGATAATTAGTTGGTGTATGAATCATGCGGAGCATGGTGTAGTGATCAGTAGGATCGTGTATTCCCGAGTGGTAGGACGTGTTTATATCTTGGTGATAAAGTATGAACTTGTTTACTTGGTGATGGTACTCGTTTTCCTTGATATTGTTGGTGAACAATTGGTTAACGTATATGTATGTAGTGATCAGTAGGATCGTGTGTTCCCGGGTGTTGGGATGTGGTTATATATGGTGTTATACTATGAATTTATTTACTATCTGATTGATTTATATGGTGTTGGTGTAATATATCTACACATATATGCATTGATGTATGATGATATGATCAGGAGGATCGTGTGCACTTAGTGTGCCTAAATATGATAGTTATGCATTGGTGTGTGCATATCATGGTGTTTTGGTGGGATGAATCATGTCTCAGGAGGAGCGTAAGTGATTCATCCGTACTCCTTGGTGGAGAATGGTGGGGGATAGATCATGTCTCAGGAGGAGCGTAAGTGATCCATCCAGGTTCGATTGAATGAACCAATGAGTTGCATATTTGCATTATAATATGTTATATTGTAATTTGAATAGTAGGTTCGTTATATGGAGTTGTTGGGGTGAATATTGGTGTGTTGGTGTGTTTTACTACCTTGTTTACATGTATTACATTACCAATATATTTTTGATCATGTTTTCTCACCCCTTGGTTGTTGTTGTGTCTGTGCTTCTCCGGAAGTACAGATAATCCAGGTACTTAGATAGCTTGGATGGTGGTGTGCCAGTCGAGTCTAGGATGCTCTGATACGTAACACGGGATATGGGTGTTTTAATTGTTTTATGTCAAACTTGTTGTAATCCTGTGACCTATCACTTTTTTTTTGTGAATTATAATAATAAAGATTTTACGAAATTTGGCGGATGGCCGAGAATGTTGGAATAATGTTTTCCGCTGTATTATTTTTGAGAATAATTAATAAAGTATTTTTATAAAAATTTGGTGATGTGATATTCCACTATTTTGGGGAAAACTCTGATGTTTATTTATAATGTTTATATTTTATTTAATTTGGGAAGTGGGGTGTTACAATATGGACCTAATGGGCTACCAACGACCCATATGGGCTAGCTCCAATGGATAACGGACTTTTTAGGGATGGGCTAAAAAACCTAAAAAATATGGGCTCTAATTTTAAGGACCAAACTCTATGATTTTTCGAACCCATGTGGGCTAACCCATTTTGACAGCTCTAAGTAAGAACATGAATAATCTCACAAACTTCTTCCATTGAGAAGGAGAAGTGCACCTTAGAAGGAAAAAAACAACACGAAAAATGTTGAAAAGTTGTCAAACAAAAATGAACATGTACATGTCATATATTGTTTGATGTGTGACTCTTACGTTTTCTTAAGAAATAGAGAATCAATGGTAAACCACTAACCAATTAGACAGTTATCATTCCAAAAGAAACCCAAAGTCTAAAGGTCTCTCTAAATACCTTATTCTAAGAAGGTATAGACATATTCAATATATATATATATATATATATATATATATATATATATATATATATATATATATATATATATATATATATATATATATATATATATATATATATATATATATATATATATATATATATATATATATATATATATATATATATATTATATGAGCTATAGACAAGGCACAAAATATATTTAAAAGCAACACTTTGATTGGAGTAAAAAGAAAAATGTTGATTTGAATTTAGTGAAAAAATGAATTGAGTTAATAGAAGAAGAAACCATAATTTTGCATGTTTGTTTCGAGTCAAACTAAATCATGATTCGATTCATAACGCCTTTTAATTTGAGTTAAAAGAAGGTATGATTCATGTCATGTATCTATTGCAAAATTTTAATTTCTAAAACTTGTTCATGATTGAGTCATGTATCCATCGCGAAATTCTAATTTTTAAAACTTGTTCATGATTCGAGTCATGCATTTTTCTAATTCAATCATGTTTGATGAAACAAATTTTTGAGAAATTATAACTTCATGGTTCAAATCAAAGATTTGCATGATTCAAATCATGATTACAAGACGTTTCTTAATTCATATCACAAGATTTATGATTTAAATCACCTTACATTGAATATAGTCAAATATTAATGTTAAAGTTTGAAAAGAATTTTGAACCCCTTTGCGAAGGAACCCCTTTCTGTTTAAACTAAATTCACAATGATCGGTCTCAAATATTTCTGTTTAAACTAAATTCCAATTCAGTTTCACATTTGCTTGCCTCAAAATTTTGATACATCAACACCACAAACCATATCTTTCTTCATAGTCTTAAAGCTCAAACACATTACCGTTGGAATCAAAGTCGCTAAAGAAAATAATTCTATAAATAAATGACGGTAAAAATGATATAGGAAAAGAAGAAGAGGTTTGAGGGTGCTTGAGAAGATGAGTATAGTGAAGAAATCATGATCACATAAGATACACTCATAAGTTGAGTAGGCGCAGCCAAGAAGCGAAAAAAAGGGATTTATAGAAGCTCAAGTTACCTCAACCTAATAATCTATGATGATGTCAGGCCATCATGACACCATTTTCAACCATGCAGTCGATGGAGAGGTCAAATTGTTGGTCTTTTCCAAGAAAATATTAAATGATAGCAAACCCAAAGGCTTTTTCACTGATGACCCCTAAATGACGTCTCAACAACTAGTGTGACCATAATTAACCATAATATGCCTTCACAACCATTGTGGAAAAATAAGCAGAATGCAATGACAAATGTTCTTCAACCACCATTGTGCTACTTCCCTCAACATACCATGACATGGTCTTACGTTGTTTTCATTTATGAGGAAGGGTTTTTCGTCGCCATCTTCATCGCTGTAAGCGAGGAGCATTCTAAATGATAGAATTCAAAAACTTTAAAATAATAAATAAATAGGTGAATTCTCTCATTTATAAATCTCAGTCATTGTTCATACTCACACTTTAACGAAGGATAGAAACACACTCACACACAAACACTGTTTTGCACAATTTCATCTAGGAGAATATTTCGTACACACATTTGACATTCCATTGCACTATTTTTAAAATCTAATTGTGGAGATATTAATAGTTTCTTTAAAAATATAAAACCTGTCCAGTGTTTATACACCAGTTCCACAAAACACTATAATTTGAACAACAATTTTATTTAGTTCTGGAATTATAAAATTCACGACCACAAAAACTGTGGTCATTCATACCCTTCAAAACAAACTAAACAACAACAAAAAAGAATGAAATCACACATCAGATTTTCCCTCTTCCTCCTCCTCAGAAAAACGAACATGTTTCCCTTTCGGCGTCGGCAATCCCTTCAAACACAACACATTAGACTCATCATCACCACCATCAACGCTCTCAACGTCCTCCTTCTTCACAATCTCATCATCACTGTTGTAAACAAACCTTGTATGTTTTCCAGCAAATTTTGAAACCACCTTATCGTTCACATTAACCTTGTTCAATCCTTCACACAGTTCATCAAGTCCCAAATCCCCTTCATATTCTTCTTCATCATCAACATCATAATAGTCTTCTTCATCGTCTTCTTCCTCAGCTATTTCTTCCTCTACATCATCTTCATCATTGTTGCTCTCATTCACTTGCATTGACCAGATGGATGCATCATCCTCGACACTGCAGCTTCCAACACAGCTTCCTTGTGTTACATCCTGATAACTCACCTCAGAGTTGCATTCTTCTGATACTTGAGATTTTTCAGAGAAATCCAAGGATTTTGCTATCTCATATTTTTCATCTTCCTCCATATTCACCACCTGAAACCAATTAAAAAAAATATTAATACTGAATCCTATAAAACAAAAACAAGAAAAAATCATTCAGAAAAACAAAAGAAATAGTGTATTCATTTATCAAAGAACCTGAGATTGTTGTTGATGAACAATAGAAGAGGTGATTGAAGGCAACCCGTCAGTGGAATTTCCAGAAACATCCAAAGCCTCTTCTTCCACCATCTGCATGAGAGTCTTTGCTTGACCTCTCAGCAAGGCTTCGCCGGATCCCGGAGTGTTCTTCACTCGGCTAGCCTTTTGCTTCGCCGACGGCGTGTCAAGATTGCCACCGTTGGCCAGCCCGACGATCGGTGAATCGTTTGTCATGTCCATCAATGCACATCTGTCTTGCTGTTGTTGCGCCTTTGATTTCGACGTGGCCTTTTCAGAATCTTCGAATTTTCCTGCGAAAAAACAAGAACATAAAGATGAGTGATATTGGTGAAAAGATTTTAAAGCGGTTCAGAAAAAGAAGATTACTGACTTGAGAGTGGAATGGTGTTGGTGAATCTGGTTGTGGATGATGGGGTCTCCATTGAAATGGAAAAGTGGAAAGCTTTGTGGAAAGTTTTGCAGAGAGAAAAAAGATTGAGTTGAATGATTAGAGAAAGAAAGAATGAATGATAGTGATGAGGGTAAAAGTGTATTATATAGAAAAGAATGAATGTGACCGTTGGGGCGTGGGCGTTTCCCAGAAAGGAAGTAGCCGTTGGTTTCTTCTTTTGAATTTGGGTTTTATTCTTTACTTGGGCTGTGCGGCCCAATGCTCATGTATTTTGGTATGTTTATCACTTATTTTAACATAGGGGATTTCACAACAAATCATATATAAAATGTTTTCAAATGCTTTTTCGGACGCACTTCAAACACATAATTTAGATCAATTCTGAATGACACCTTATGAGTGTGTCTTTTTTTACCTGGAGATGCAATTTGTCCGTAAATACAACTTTGTAACATTGTGAAACAAAAACAACAACAGAAAATTATAAAAAGTTGTATTTTGACAAAATAAAATCAGCATTACATAGGTGATGTTAACATAAAATCAAATATTGCATTTCAATATCCAGGTGATCGCTTTAACATCTTCACAATATCTTCAATCGATCTTGAATTCATCTAGGGATGGCAATTTGACTCATCCCAATGGGTACCCGCAAAATTACCTATAATGGGCATAATAAAAACCCGCAAAAATGAATATGGACACAGGATCGGGCATTTACACACAAAAATAAGCAGGTATGGATGCGGGTATGGGCACCTTGGTACCCACCCTGCTACATATTCGGCCTAATATATATTTATGTATTTTAATTTATATTTATATTTTTTTAATTTATATTATTATACAAAAATATATTATATTTATATTTTTTAATTTACATTATTATACAAAAATGTCTGTCTATTAAATTTAAAAATTATATAAATGTTAACACATTACTTATTTAATATTAATGTTCGTTTATTTCAACAATAAATTTCTTTTAAAACTTTGTAACATTTTTAAAAACTTAAAATGATACAATATTTTATAATTTATTTATTTATTTTTAATAGGAATTCGGATAATGGGTACGGGTATAGGTACTTACATACTCATAGGGTATCGGTATGCGTACTTACATACTCATAGGGCACGGGCGTTAACTTTGGCGCTCAAACGGGTATGGACTCAGGTACTGAGATTTTTTCAAATTGCGGGTATGGGGGTGGGTACTATAGTACCCAACCCAAACCCTGCTCACTGCCATTCATAAATTTGTTGCTTCCAACTCGATCAAAACTTTTGTTTCGAAATGCAAAAATGTATTCCGCATAACCCTTAGATCTGCATCTGTCTTGAGCTCATCGTTATTGAACTCAATCTTTTCTTCGTTGTTAATTAACGATGAACGATACTCGAGCTTCACAGTTTTTCAACTATCTCCGTAAGATATGAGATTATGCACTTCGTATTGCAGATCTAGAAAAAAGGTGTACTCATTGATATTAAAATTTCTCTTAGGTGTCGCGTTGGAGAAGGAGACATTTGCGACATACCAGACGATATTTATTTGTGACATTTGCGACATTTTTTATTTATATGAAATATAAAACATGAGCCTAAATTTATAAACGTTGTAGACAAATGTGGGCCTTAAAAATTCTATCATGTGTCAGTGCTGGTTTGAGAGATACATTTATGGTACCACCCTATAATCTGATTTCGAAGATACATCTCTAAAACCTCTCTTGAACCAAGCAGAAAATCGAATATGTGTTTTGTTTGGAAAATGAATATTATTTTTTTTGGAAAACATCAAAATGTATTAAAATATTTGAAATTGTATATATTATACTCCATTAATATTAATACACAATTATATACACTTAATTGATGACGAAAAACTAAATGAAACGAAAGATTTTTCGTCGACTAAATTTATAAGTATGGGTGGTACTCCCATTTAACTTGTGTGCATTTAATTCTCTTTCAATGTTGCTTAATTTGGTGAACTCTTCATCCTTTTCACAAATTGGTCCGACCAAGTCTCAACTTTTGTTGTTGAATGAGTTGTTCACTCCACTGATGTAAGTGGTATAGGGCATCCCAATTTCAAATAAACTTGAACAAAGTGCAGTGATTTTGAAATCCATTCAATACACATAATACGATCATTTGGATTTTGAGGTGGGGCAATCCGCAGTGGGAAAAAGGTTTTCGAGAAATCGTATTTTATAAGATCAATACACACTACCTCATACGTACTTGCTATGAGATGACCCATTTTAGGGAAGCGCATCCATTTTTCCTTCGGTGCTAATCCAGTAATGCTAGAAACAAGAGACTCGTAAATTGCATCAAAATTTTATCTCTTTCCGTAAATCCGTGTGTATGACTCTTTATGGGTCCTCAACTCATGGATAAGTTGATGGTGGACAAATGTGTGATTATCTTCTCCTTTAACTAGTAAAGTCGAAGCATCTCGATAACCGCAATTACCCACACCCTGAATATTGACGATCTGTTCGACGTCTTTATGAATAAAAATCGGCATCTCATTAGTGAATGGATTTTTTTGTGGAGGCGGTGAAGGAGGTGGTTTGCTAATGCGAACTCCTTTAAAAGCACTTTTTTTTAGATTTTGAAGTTGATGAGTTTGAAAAAAACTTTTTCAACATGTTCAAAATACGAAGGAGACCGTGTTGTTGAATTATCACTCGATGAAGGATTGACCTTCTTCAGAGCATCTTTTGTTTTTATCGATTGAGATGGTGGTTTCAAGTCAGTGATTTTCAAGTAAGCAATCTCCCTTAATTGTTCTTTGATGAGGAGTTTCATATTATCATCAACTTTCAAAAATATCTCTTGTATCAACTTTCATTCGTTCAAGATAAAGATATTCGATTTGTCGTCTTTCATGACACCATCATCATCAAACATAAGCTTTTTCCAATTACTACAAACTTCATCGATTCTCAAAGGACTACCAAGTTTCATCTTCTCTGTTATAAGACAAGCACATAGGAGACCATAGGTTTTCACAATTGTGTAACCATACTTTGTGCTATTTGAGCCTACATTATCAGCTCGTTTGGCTTCGTGAAAATTATAATTCAAACCGGCTTGAGATATGTTGCCGACGAACTGAGAATAAAGATTGTTATCAATATAAAACCATGTAACTTAAAGGGACACTCTCAATTTATTGAACTGGTGTCATCTCATGTAAAATTCCTAATATGAGGGATATATTCTTCACTTCTTTCGTATGTCATTGTCACTAATGCACCTCTTTCATCTGAACCGTTATCGAACCTTCTGATTACCACATTGAATCTCAGTTTGGAGGCCTCTGTACGAAGCCATTAAAGCATGTGATCACAAAATTCAAACTCTTGTTCATTTTTAGATTGGTTGCCAACATTGACCTTCTTCACAACAACACATTTGGCATCTAGAGACACACCATGTTTGGGGATAATATCGGGGTGCACCATATATAATGAAAATATTTATAATAAAACACTCAAAAAGTGCTAATACTATAAACAGAACTGAAAAAATGATAACAGACAACCTACGAAGATGCATCTCCGGACGAGTTCACATAGAATCCAGAGATGTATCTCCGGATAAAATGAACGTTTTTCAGACTACAAACAAGCTCAATACGAGAAATGAAGTTTGATATATATGATCTTTACCTAGAAGTCCAGCTTCTTTTTCTCTCTTTGATGTGATGAAACACAAGAGCAGAAATTTGGAGCGAAAATGTTGATTGAGAATGGAAGGGTTTTTAGAAAGGGTTTTGAGCGGAAAACAAGTATGGATATGTGATCATGCATGTGAGTGTTTTATCAACTTAATTTGGAAACGTATCTCCAAAAATATTTAACATGCAAAGGTGACAAAAATTTCAAAATTCCACCTCAAACCTCCGTAGACACATCCCTAGAATATCCATTGGGTTGCTCAGATATTAATATATTTGTTAAAAATACCCGGAGATGCATCTCCGGAATAATTTTTTATTTTAATCTAGGGTGACACTCATTTAGTGCGTCATAAAAGTGGTACATGGTGCGTTCGAGGATGTATCTCTGAAATCTAAAGGACATTTTTGGTTTTTTATAAAGTGGGATAAGAAATTCCCTTAACATATACTTATTAAAACAAAAAATATATCCTCAAAATTGAAAAATAATATATATTTCAGGTGGTTGCTTATTAGATCATAATCATAACTATTTCTCTCAAATTTTATATATATAGAAATTAACTTCTCACCATGCTCTATATCATGCTGTTCACATTATTTCACTAAAAAAAATGATAATTAAAATGTTGTGTTCGAGTTAACATATCGACATAATTAACTACTTGGAAACCATAGAGATATTAATAGGAAGTGGTAAACTACAAGTAGTATTGCAAAATAACAATCGATAAATTCCAGAGTAAAATCTGCATAAATTTACAAAAGAAATTTTATTATCCAAAAGTTAACTTCTAAACATACATTATTCTATTGTGTTCGTTTGATAGTGTTACTTACCAAACATTTTGTAGGTATATTCACAGAAAGTATTAAATATGAATAATACCTACAAGTGTTTTGGGCAAGTAGCATAGTGGTTGTAATTCAGTTTTATATATGATGTATCTGCACAACTATCAATTCAGTTGGCTTAACAGGACTAATATCTGCAAAGTTTATTCAAAAGATACATTCAGATGATAACTTATGAACAAAGGAGAATTTTTAAATGTTATTAGAGTTTTGAAGAAATGTATAAGGTATATTTAACAAACACTTATATTTAAGGGTAATAGTTTTTCCACCCCATGGAGTGAGGGTGGTGTTGCACCCCAAATTTTGACCCCTTAGATCCTTATCATCATTTTAGGATCATATTCATTTGATTAACTAACCTTAACCCATTTCAAGTTTATCCTTGTCAAGATGCAGATGAATCAGGGTTCCATACCATCAAAAATCGAGGCTTCGATGGTTTGATAAATCAATGTGTTGGATTGATTAAA